GATAAAATTGTATACAGGAAGCTGACATCCAGGAAAAACACATAGGCTACTTTAAACCTCGGAAATCCCAAAAATCCGGGCGCAGCTAGAATAAAAATAATGTCAATACTGTAAAGGGTTCATACTGAAAGCCAGTCGATGTTCATCCAATACAATGGCCTGGATCTGACCTCCTTCCAGTAGGACTCGTCGCTCTGATACTGATACAGCCGAGACTGATACACACTCAGACATGTCAACACACTGAGGCTCCCACACACTGTACCTGTAACACATACAAACAAACATATATACATGTAGGAACAACCTTATGACCCATGTATATCTTACTATATGTAAGATTCTATATCATAATAAGTAAAAACTAGGATTAATTTACAGGACTATTGTGACATGTTCTCACCCAAAATAAGAAATCAATATGGATCATTTAAACATTGAAAACGAGACATTATTTTTAAGTTAGAAGATTTACTATATATATTCAAATAAATTCTGTACACATAATAAGTTACTTTTATCCAGTACAATTTAAAAATATATTATTAAATCTTACCAATCAGCAAATGTGTTGGGGTTTGGGCTACAACAGCGTCACCGTTTTCTATCCATTGCACGAAACTAACTCCGCTCGCGAAAATTTCCTAAAAAAATGAAATACCAAACAATAAAATTTCATATTTATTTGACTCAATTTATTTAGCTATGTCGTTTACGCTATATATATATGAATGTGCTACCTTTTCACCTGTATCAATACGGAGAAGTGCAGATGCAGATGTCCGCTCTCATTCAGCTCCAACCAATCCACCCGAGCTTCGTGCCACCATGGCCCTAACTGAACTCCTACAACATTCACATCATTGATATTAATAAATATAATGCAACGACATCAATCTTTTTTTCATAACAAAGGAACTCTAACATCTATCCTATGTATGTTCCGTACCTGTAACAAGATCAATAACAGCAATCATCTGTCTGTCAGCAGATAGGCGAAGTGTTTTCGTTCTTCCTCCGTCTTCCTGCCCTCATTGATACGGACACTGAGCACGTGAGGATTCACACGCTCAGTACGAACCATAAGATACGAATCATTTTATTATAAATCATATTACTTGACATTGTGTAGATCTTGATCTATACTCACAGTTTGTAGTACTCTATCGAGGCCGTACTCCACCACACTAAGTTCGCCAGCACGCTGCAACAGACAGGCTCTACCCACAGCTGCATATATACGCTCCCCTCCACCGGACCATGGTATCTGGAGTATTCATGACTATAAACTTTTAATACTATATACAAGTTCGATAGAAAATATATCTCACTTCGCTAGTTAGACCACGAGCTATATCGCACAGGATCAGACTATTACTGGTACGACAGACAGCGTACCAATCGTTACCTGTAACAGTCGACGTTGGTTAAATTATTTATAAAATAAAAAGTATTCATTGTTTTACTATAACAAAAATACATCTCAAACCATATCACAAGACAAGAATATGTCAACGACGCGTGTACCGATCACGCCACCGAGAGCATCATTCGATGCCTCCACTCTCCCCACTAGGTACTAAGTAGTTGTGCCAGTATAAAATACGTGCACGATTATTCTACGAATTTATTATAATTCCGGTGTTATAATTCCGTCCCAGACTAATTATACCCCATTATAACCGATTAAAACTATGATTAAGTTTAAAGGAACTTCATTCCTTTAACTATGGCCCATCAGTTTTCTTCTTCTTCTACAAATATTTTGCTGTAGTAAAATAATACCAAAGGTTAGTAAGCAAAAAATGTTTGTCAACTGAGGTGCTATTAACGTGCTTCAATAGAAAGATAAAACATTATACAGATTTACGAATGTTGAAGGGAGTTTGACTTGAGTTAGACATAAAAATTCTATTTCAAGTAGGACTCGACTAGCAGACACATTCCATCTTTTCCGTTTCTTCTGTTTCCATCTTTCATCTTTGGCCATTTACAACCAATTATACCTACTCACCAATAAATCTAACATTGAATATATCGGGTCTAGTTTGGCGGTAACAGTGAGAGGCGTAGTATCAGCACCACGACGTCGAAGCAGCAACTGACGTGTGCTGACGTGTTGCGCCTCTATAAGGTCCCGCCACACCCAGCGTCTTGAAACAGAGGGGTAGGAGAAAAACAGGTTACTGTATATGTATAAATAATACTACACAAAGAACCATTTATAATTAAAAATAAGCATCACTTTGTTGTGTGACGGTGTCATAAGTGGTCGTTTAATTAAAATATAATTATCTTTATACGGTGTAATCAGAGGACGCCTCAGCTTGTGGGTAAACTCGTCTTTTCTACACGGGTCTGACTCAGCAGTTAAATGTGAAGACAGTTTTTGGTTTTATATATTTCTTTATGTTTTTAGAAGTTTCAGATATATTATTATTGTGAATCATTATGTACGGTTCCTCCTAGCCGTTTTAAATATATATTAATATTGATTCTATACATATATTTTAATTGGTGTTAGATACAAATTACATATCGACGGAATTAGGGAGCATTCAAGTATTACGTAACGCAATTTTTGAAGATTTTAAAAATCCGTCTACGCTCATATATCTGTATACCAGTTTAATCAGACCACAACTTGAATATGCATTACAAATCTGGAACCCCATTTACAATAAATATGTTGATCAGATAGAAAATGTGCAACATCGGTATTTGCGCTCATTACATTACAAATTTTTTTCATTCTTTCTATTCTAAGTTGCTCGATAAATATAAATTGGGGAGTCTTGCATCGAGAAGAAAACTTTTGAGTGCAATGTCCTTATATAATATTTGTAATTCTAATTTAAATTGTCCTCAATTGTTAGGCTACATATATTTCTTGGTACCCAATCGAGTTTCATTGCGTAATACACGAACACCTAGATTATTGAAATTAAAAAAATGTCGAACTAATGCTGGCAAGCGAGCACCATTGTACCAAATGACCCAAACGTACAATGCTGAATTTTATAATGCTGACATTTTTGGGTTAACAATAGGTGCATATAAAAAAAAATCCATTACCGAAAAAGCAAATAATAATAATAGTTAACAGTAATAATATAAATCAAATAATATATTTATTATGTGAGTATGTGTGTAATTATGTATGTGTATTTATATTTGTTATGTATATATTTAATATTGTTATGTATATATTTAATATCTCTTTTATTTCTTTTTTTTAATGTAAGTAGTGGATAACGGTGTGGTTTGTACATATATTAAGTTTAAAAAATTGTATAAAATATATTTTCACAGATGTACAAATGTTTGTTGTCCCAAATAAATAAAAAAAAAAAAAAAACAAAAAGATTTTTGACTCCCCCCTTCCCCCCTCGTAACGCACAGTAACGTTTTCTGTAGCTTATCAAAACGTTATGTAACACTCAAGTGATCAATTTCATCCAAAGTCGTAAAACAATATGTAATAATACTGTATAGTTTTAATCTATTAAATGAAAAAAGATCATTGACACAAATCTCCCTCTTCTGAAGAAATTACAGTATAAACAATATGAACTCACGGATAAACACCAACGAATACTGACCACGGAAGCAACATTAAAAGACTTACAATGCAATCTAGGTATTCCCAGTAAAATATTAATTAAGAGTTTTGCAAACTTGGAATAACAAATAAAAATATCGACCAGACTTATACAATCTGGTGAACATAATGTAACGTATATGAAAAGAGTTGCCAGTTTGGGGGTTTTTATTAAAATATTTTTTTTAGAAACAATGCTACGTAACGTTTTGTCAGAGACACCCCCTCCCGTCCCTGTAACGGATCGTAACGTTTTACGAGAACCCCAAAATAGCTTTACGTAATACTTGAACGCTCCCAAAGCAGACTGAAGGAAGTTATAGAGAAATATCTACGGAATAATGATTATAGTCTTGGTGGAACAGAAACTTATGCATCTGAAGAATTGATTGAGAGCCTTAATGTCAGTTGTAAGTGAACACTCTCAAGTCAGTTAATTGTAAATACAGAAAATTTACAACAAACACTACTTTGGCTGTCTTATTACTCAGTGGCGTGTATTAGGATATATGTTCTATAATTATACAATGTTTATTAAATATACTATTTGTATTTAAATATATATCTTGTCATTTACAGTTTAAATAATCGAATAGTGTTGATTTGACTTACGAAAGTGTTGCGTCGTCAATTATTTGTCAAAAGAATGTCTAATATACTATTATTATATAATTATATTGGAGTCAGCTTTGTTTAAAAACTGTTAAAACTTTAAAAACATATATTTTATTGTATTTAGATTATTATCTGATTATAACTAAGGAATTATTATTAAAAAGTAAGAATAAGACTTAGGTACAAAAGCGGTAACATGTCAAATATGTGTTTAATATACTGTTAAATTGGAACCCGCTTTCAAAATGTAATTTACTAAAATATTTTCTATAATTTAAGAGTTATGTTTTCAATATGTATAAGACTTTATTTTGTAATATATACTAATATTTTAACCCCTTGCTGCATGAATTATGAAAGAGATGAAATAATTTTTTTTTTTTGGCAAAAATGTGTTTATTGTAGCTTAATTAGTGAGATCAAATCAACAAAAAAAAATATTAGCTTATAATTCAAAAGTTAGTAATCAACGCCATATGTGGCTTCGTATGCATTCTAGCCATATACGCTTCGGTCAAATATGGCTTCGTATGCATTTACGTGTAAAGTATTTTATTCCTCGTGAAATTCTTTGTAACAGTTGCGTTTGTCATTATAGCACAAATAAACATTACATTTTTCACATAATGTAAAAGAACGAAATTTAGAACAATTTTGGCATATTTGTCGGGCATTCTTCTTCCAAATCGGAAAATGGCTAATCCCATCGGTACGCACGGACGCCAAAGGCAAGTCTTGATGCCTAGCTGGCGTTTTTCGTGTCTTTTTTGCGGGAACTGGAGATTCAGGAATACGGGAGGGAGTGCCACCCCGGCTTGGATGTCGGAGTTCCAAGAATGCTCGATGGACGACCACGTTTCTTGGTCATAACTGCTTTTCCTGCTTTACGCAAATGTTCGGAAACTGCCAGTTTGAAATCATAAAGTGGCATGTAAGAGTCAGCATTGATTCGGCGCCATAACAACCAAGCATTGACAAGTGTCATGTCCACCATGTGAAAAAAAATCCTCTTGTACCATTGACGAGACCGCAAATGGATTCTATAATAACCCAGCATAGAATCTAGTAAATCCACTCCTCCCATATGCTGGTTATAAACATCTACAGCTTGGGGTGAAGGTATGTAAACATATTCTTTATCTTGGCGAACGTAACGCCGCTTTGTTGTTGTGGGTTCACTTCCAACGTAGGCTGAAAGAAAAAAAAAGAAGAAAAATCTGATTCTGACTCCGGTATAATGATATGTCGTTTAGGAGTTAAACTAATGGAGCCAATATTACAATTATCGTCACAATCCGAATCAACATCATCGTCACTAATGTCACCATCACCTGGAATGATGTTTACATGCTTTGCAGTGCCATAAAAGCGTGCTGGGTCCATTTCTAGAACAAAAAAGAAAGAAGCCTTAAATGCATACCAAGCCAAATATGACAGTACCACTTTTGACCATAATGCATACGAAGCCAAATATGGCAATTTTGAAAAAGTAGATAATTACGTCGAAATATGCAAAACAAAGCAAAAATCAAACATTCACCGTTTATAAGAAAGATAAAAGAATACTGTGGTATTTTTTTCAACCGTTTACTCACCTTTTTGATATGTTTTTTTTTAAATTAAAAATTACACTTTTTTCGCTGCACCTGCTCCGCCGCACGCGCTCAACATAACCTTAAAAATATTTAACAGCTGACATTTGACATGAATGAGTTAATTACATTCCGTTTCACCATGAAATTCCGGATCTGTTGTTGGTTAAATTTTAAAAATCGGACATACCAGTAGCTTGTAAAAAAAATGTAAACTTGGTCATCCATATATGGTTTCGTATGCGGTAAGGGGTTAATACATTTTGTAACACGTGCATACCATAGATGCAAATAAGCATTGCATATCCTACCCATATAACAACTAAACCTATATTGTTTAATTCTTACTTACATATTTTTAATCATACATTACGTATAACAAATATTAACAGATATTTAAAACGATATTTGATTTATGATTTGTTAATAAGTGCCATCTATCTCCATTCGTTCGTTAATTGTCAAATGATACGGGACGTTCTGATTGGTCGGTAAACTGTTCATATATTTTTTCGCCATTTTGTTGTTTTTGAATATTGTTATTGGTCTTTCTAAGCAGTAAGCGCAAGTGAAGTAAGTTTTAATTAGTAAACAGTGGATTAATTTATTAACGAATTCTGTAAAATTATAGCTGTGTGCTCTGTGCTGGTGGTATGTGTTTATTGAAATTAGTTACGAGTACATTTTCATTATTATCATTTGGTAATAAAATTAAAATAAGTTTAAAGTCAAGGTGTGTGACCAGTTGAGATTGAACTAGAAGAAAGGTAATGTTATTCGTTTTAAAAAAAGTATTATGATAGTTTTAATTAGTTAGCAGTTTGTGTACACACAAATAAGTTATTTAGTTTGCCTTGTTTTTTATTTTCAAAAGGTAGTAATAAGAATATTTGTGATTATTTTTGATATTACTATTTAAATAACTTTTATAATGCTGTGGTGAACAGATCGTAATCGTTTTAAGGTACTTTCGCGGCTCAAAAATAGTTGAGAGATTCATAAAGTATAATATAGATGTTCGTTCTGATCGCACTGCTGTACGTAACATTTTGCGCGAAAATTATCAATTTTTAAATGAAATTATATTTTCTGATTACTTCTCGCATTTTATCATGCACGCCACTGTTACTTATATACTATAAAAATCTAAGAAGCATTTGAATTTTTTCAGATTTCGACGAATGCACAAGTAGTCAGTTCAATGACTGATCCGAACACTCACGCTGTTTCAACCTTCGTGGAACTTACACTTGTAGTTGTTTAGAAGGTTTTACAGACCTTAGCGTCAACACTCTATACCCTGGAAGGATATGTTCTTGTAAGTCGATTTCATCTGTTACTCTGTCGCACGAAATATATGAGGTATTTTAGACATCAAAACATAAAGTCAAATTATATATAAGGGATATATAATTTGACTTTAAAAGCGTTGTAAGATTTCCAACGATAATAAAACTTGTACAAATATGACATGATTATGTTTTAAATTTTAATTTTTAATAAAAACTTTCAGCTGACGCAATAGGCTGTGCGGGCTGCAACTATCATGGTACCTGCTTCGATCGTGAGAACGCGATGATATGTGGATGTTTCAAGTGGTACGCGGGACGAAGTTGTCAAGTCAATTTGAAAGGTAAATAGAGACATATGAGACTTGAGTAATCTGGAACGAACAAACTATAAAATGTACTACAGGCTTCCATATCTGAACTACTACTATTTACTATCTCTAAAAAATGTTGCTTAATTAAATAAAATATGACGAGATTAACATAAATTGTTCTTAATTTGAATTTAATATTACCTATCCATAAAGAATAATTTGATCTACGCCAGCATGTAGATCTGAATGGTTTTTTATGTGAAATGTCATGTACGAGGGTCAAACTGAAAGTTCTTAAAAAAATCAAAAACTGATTATATTAGCCAGTTATTAGTTTTATTATATCTTTTCAAAATATTGTCCATTCACGTCTATACGGCGGGTGACCCAGTAATTCAACGTTTGATGTCGCCAAATAGTCGATGGTTCGCTTGGCGGTGTGCGACGAGGTGTTGTCGTGGTGAAGGAGGATCCTACTGCGAGGTTGTTTCTCTCGAACTTTTTCCAAGACAAGTGGCAAACAATTGGTAGTGTACCATTCTGCAGAAACTGTTTCTTGATCCTCTAACTCAATTGTTGCGAAATGACCTATCCTTCCAAAGAACGAGGCCACCATTTTTTTCCCGCACTTCGATCTCTCTTCATTTTAGTTGGCAACTCCTCGAAAGCACACACCCACTGAGCAGATTGTCTTTTGGTTTCAGGATCATAACAGTAAATCCAGCTTTCGTCACGTTGTTAGTATGTCGAACACAGCATTTGAGTCACCTCCATTAAATCTTTCAATCATTTTACGGCATCAATCCACACGATGGAGTTTTTGAGCCTCAGTCAAATTATGAGGTATCCACCGGGCGCAAAGCTTCCTGACCGCTAAATGTTCGCGGAGGATTTTGAGCACTTGACTCATACCGATGCCTAAGCTTGTCCGAATCTGCTGATAGGTCACTCTTATCTCAGTCTCTATCATACGCCGCACAACACAGATGTTATCTTCAGTCGTCGCCGTAGAAGGCCGTCCCTCTCGTAAATCATCATTGAGATTAGTGCGACCACGTTTAAACTCATTAAACCAGTTGTAAACAGTCGCACGAGATGGGGCCTCATCGTGAAAGGCCAAACGTAGTCTATAATAACTTTCTTGTTGACTTAAATGACATCTAAAGTCATAAAAAATCATTGCACGCAAATTTTCTCGTGTTAAATTCATGTTGACGTGACACAGACAATTTTCAATTTGCCGCCAAATCGTAAAACAAATGACAAATATATGAAATACCTATATACTCAGTAATATTGGCAAAGAGTTCTATTTTCAAATTTTAGAATTATTTTTTTATTATATTGTTTATAAGTGGCCAGTTCTAAGAACTTTCAGTTTGACCCTCGTATTATAGTATTTTAGGAATCTGTTGTTGACAATTGGATTCTTTTAAGTAACAGTGAAAATACCATAAATAGCATTCACATAATTTATATATATTTTTTAACTTTCTACTTCCTTATAAGCTCCTGAAGTACTTTAAAGAAGTCATTAATTCACTTAACAAGGAGTAAAACAGTCCGACGCTATAGATACTTCACCAAATATAATTAATTAAACGCGTATTGATAAACTAAAGTAACAATAATTTCTATGAATGTATTAATAATAAATACCTATGTCGGTGTCTCAACATCAGTGGCGGGGCAAGACCTAAATTTGATGTGGGCAAAACAGATTTCGCGAGGCCCTATTCTATGGCAACCTGAAGCTCTTACTACCAGCTAGTTTTAAAAACTTAATCGTCGATACCATTTTTACCCTTAAAGCTTTGGTTTCCTTTAAAACACAGTATAAAGCGTATTTTATATAGTAATTATTGCGTTACATACTTATTACCAATTAAATATTTGTTACTTAATGAAATAAAGACGAGTACAGGTACCGGTGTATTACAAATCACAAAGAAAACAAAAACAATTAAAAACGTCACTGTTATCGGGGGCAATCAATATACTTAAACACCATCTATTTATTCGCTTAATATTATTAAAACATTGACCACACTATTCTTATCAAAATTGGTAAGTACAGTCATAAAAATAAACAATACATATAACACAATTTTATATGTACATACGTTTTTTTTGGTATGCGCGTAACGCCAGGGGTAAAACCCGCATTCTGGTAGGCGGCAAATGTTGCCAGTCTAAGAAAATATCATTATCAACAAAATTGATTTATTTATATATTTTTTTCTCGCTTTAAAAATTTTTTGAGGCGCGAGGCCCCTTGTACCGCGAGGTTGTAGGCGGTGGCCCACGTCGCCCACGCCTTACGCCGCCACTGCTCAACATATTTTTATTACATTTTCTATGACTACCCTCCAGAAAATATGTTTATTAATTATTACTTCAATATTCGTTTCAGAGCCCTAACGAGTCTCCTCCAGGACATAGTTTACTTTATAGCTAGTTTTGAAAACGAACCCAACAAGTCGAAAGCTCTAGAACTTGTTGTAGAGAACCCCAACAGAGACAGACAGAAACTGTTGAGGGAGCAGTACATACTGAGATAACTGTTCATGATACTGCAGGTACTCTTATATATTAGAATATATAAACTAAAAGAACAAATCAAAATCTTATTGAGAACCTCTAAGAAAACTTAATAATCATTTACCTAATGACACGTAATTTTATCTATAACTAACTCGCCTCAATTAACGATATCTAAGACTCGTGAATATTCATATAAATGAAATTAATATTTTATGAAGTATTAACATATAACAGACTATCACGTGCGTCCGTGATCGCGGTTGCTGCAAAGTAACCGAAACGTCGGGAGTATGTAGTTTTAAAAATAATAAAATACGTGTAGTATAATTCTAAAAATATTAGTTTCGTCTCAATTAATTTCATTTTTACTATAGAGCTCATATCTGTTTGATACATGATGTATTTGTTTCCAGAGTCCGTTTCAAGAATCAGCTAAAGGTGAACCATTCCTTCAGATCGAGGAGCTGTATGATCCACGGTACGCGCCTTACAAATTCATCTTCAGACTCTGCTACCGTATACTGAGACTTAGTCAACAAGATTACAAGAAAAACCAAGTGAGTGATGATATTAATACGTCTATTATACACTCACTAGCTTTCCGTCTGCAGATTCGCCCGCGTGGAGTTCGGTTATATCGCGTT